ATATATATATATATATATATATATATATATATATATATATATATATATATATATATATATATATATATATATATATATATATATATATGTAGCACCGAGGAGATTCATTTCATATCTGAAGTTTAAGAACATTACCCAAATGGGCATTTTGTATGTGTGCTCTCCCTTCTTGTATACGTATATCACGCTTCTGTGTGGAATGCGCTGAATTGCCAGAAAATAATTAATGAATGCATCGTAGTTTCCTCCATACATCATTGATGGTCTGAAATTTCGGTGATTTAAAAAAATCTTATGCATATATTTAAACTAACTAGCTTTCTTCAACTTTTGTCGCTGGTAAATAGATGAAATTAGGCATACGCTAACTTAAACGCATCAAATAATTCAAAAAATTTCAAACAGGAGCATCAGAAACTTCATATTCATTTTGATTCCCTGTTAATGTTACTAGAATTGCAACAAGTGGAACTCTTAGAAATTAGTGTGGGTAATAAGTACACCTTAAGACAGTAGCGCTAGGGAATTCTTCACGGACGACTTCTTCACCAAGTCCTTTGGTAAGAAGAAATTGTGATGGTTTATTGAATAGTGTTGGTGGAGTATTCTTAGAGGCATTCATTGCCGACATGTGGATGAATCTGAAAAAAGGAAGAAGCATATAAGCTCTTGTTTAACTTCTTTGAGATTTCCTGCTAGTATTTAACACAACTGAAATTCGAATTTAAAATTTTAGTAAAACTGCGTTGGCTGACTTTTGAATCCCCATTTCCTTAGCAATCCGAGCAATTCGTCGTGCTCCTTCAACATGAGTCTCTTCGAAAGAGTAGTTTTTTGTTTCGCATCTCGTACCAATTAAATTTACAACTACATTGCTGTATCTCATAGCCTGTCGGATACTTTCTTCATCTTTTAGTTGAAATGGTAACAGCAACACTTGACCAAGTTCTCCATATATCTAAATTGTTGGATTTGCTTTTAAGATAAACAAATTCCGAAAAATATACATAACAACCAGATTACATGATTCGTATAATCATAAGAATCATATAATATATGGAAAACTTTAAAATTTAAATTTGTAGCTTTAAAAGTGCACTAATGTTTGTGTTTGTGCACTATCTTGCATATCTCAGGCTTTTAAAAAAGAAGAAAATGTAAATAAATGAAGCAACAAAATACCTTGAAACTCTTTATCAATAGAATAATTGAGGAAGAGAGAACGAACTTTTAGTTGCCGGGTGTAATATGGTTCTTGTCGACTTGGCAAAATAATTTGGTGACCTTCTTTTGCAAGTCGATTTATTAATAACTTTCCCAATAATCCAGTGCAACCGAATACGGTTACTACATTGCCGGAAAAGCTGCATCGACCACCTGTGCCCTGCAAATCACGCAGGAAAACCCTATAAATTAATGTTGACAAAAAAGTCAAGAAGATAAAAATACTAAGATCTTTGTAATTTAGAATTTAATAGGATTTAATATAATTCTACCTTTCTGAATGCTGCAAGTTTACTCGTTGGACTCGGCTTCGGTAAATCGAGCTGTGTTGCGGATGTGCTGCAATAAAGTGCCTTGCAAATGATGCTTTCAGTCCCCAACATACGGCACCGTTGGATGCTGCCAACAGCGAACATTCCCAGCTCCTGAAAAAATAAACCTTAATTTAGAAATGTTTGTAGATATTCACCTGAAGAAATCTGACAAATATCTACACATACATGCATATATTTTTTTACTTGCAAAAAAAATCAAACCACAGTTTGAAAGAAGCCGCTTACATATTTCATCCTAGAATGTAAACATTTTCTTTACAAACTGATAAGTTCCCCAACACTGAATTTATGAAAACTGAGAAAATTAATCTAGTCCAGCAAATATCCAAGTATTAATCCTTAAATACTTGATATTACTATAAGAATACGGAATAAAATAGAGCTAAGAATGCATATCTATAATTGCTCAGCAATTCATGAGGAAGCGGTACTATTTATCTACATCCAGATGACAGCTGAGCAAAAGAAAAAACCAGTACATAGCAAAATCTTGCTATCTCTATAAATACCAATCCCATACATTTCCTAATTCAATAGCTGACACATTTACTTTACAAGAAATAAATATATACATATGAGACTGAGAGCTAAATTCACAATAGTACGGAAGAAATTTTAAAGGAGAAAAAATTATAAAAACATGTCACAGTTCAACTATTATATATTTTTGAATACAAGTAATTCCGATCAACTCATCCGTTGATCTTACTATAAGCGCTATCAGCATCATGTGAAAAACAACGTGTTGAGCAAATCTTTATTAAAAATGACATGTTGATCATTAGTTAATTTGTTGAAGAAATCTGAGCACTCATTCCCAAATGGAATAGCGTATTTACGCTTCTGCAATCGCAAACAGAACGATTGAGATATTAGTTCGTCCAGCAATTATCTTATCAAGTACTGTCCAGTCCATAAGCACCACCATTCTAAATATAACATATTTGAGCAGTGTGAAGTTGCCATAACAACAAGAGATCACATATATAAAATTATAAATCCATACACTTAAATGTATATCTATGGGGATGGACAGAGCTACGAACGCTAACAAACGTCACAGATGTAGAGGACCTGCTCGATATAACTAGTTAGGAGTGGGACAAAATGAAGCACCTACTAGCAGAATTTCTGATAACTAAAATCATGTCTAACAGCCATGAACTGAAAATGACGAAGCTCAAAATCCCATACCACAGATGATACTCGTTATTATTCCAGAAAAAGTTCGCACCACACAAACTAGTAAATAAATTATTAAAACCCATAAAAATGGGCGAACTTACATTGATAGCAAGGCATTCTTCCTCGGATATTTGTTTACGACGAAGGAAAACAGGTAATTGCCAATCTTCAATTAATTCTCCTCTTTGAATCGTACTTTTTACAGCTGATGGTGGCTCATTCGATGAGGAAACCAACTCTTCTGCAGATTCGCAACCTTCATTAGATTTCATCGAAAGAAAAATTCTGACCATCTCAATTAATTACTAAAAGATTGATCCCTTCCTACATAAATTTATATTTGGTAATTTAGTACGAATCAAACCAGTTTAGTCCAGTTCATTTAGTTAAATTAAATTAAACTATTTCCACTACTCAGTCCAGCTCAAATGAATACGATAAAATTTTGGTACAATTCTGAAAACACTGCCATAGCTAAAACTACAATAAGAACGAGGATATTATTGGCATGAAGAACTAACGAGATACTGAAGATTTCGACTCACATATCACTGATGGCACGGCTGACCTGAAAAAATAACGACAGAGAAACTCTAATTAGGTTGATACCGAATTCGATGTCGAAGAATCTCCGTAACTCTAACATTTTCGATGAAATTTTATCGTCGGACGTGATCAAATTTTTCAGAATAGAATAAAGATGATATTTTAATATTTACCGATCATAGTGAGGTCGTGGAAGTCGAGCACCAATAAATTTAATTAGTGGTTTGCGCACATGATCCTAAAAACAAAAAAATTTGGCATGTGAATTGAGTTTGAAACTGAATTTGAATTTGAAAACTAAGCAGCACTTGTCCTGAATAAACAGAGTTACCTAATAATTTAAACGACTAAGCACCACAAACAGGCAAAATGCTTTTCTAACATACTTTTAGTTTAGAATTATCCCGAAACGATATAATAAGTAATAGTACATAAACAAAGGTTTACTTCATTTACTTTATATTCCGACAAAAAGTAAATCGAAACTAACGCTTAGCGATATGTTACTTGACAAACGATTCACAACTACTGATAAATGCGACTTCATTTTTTCGTCAGGATGTACTGTTCTATTCCGAGTATTACTGCAGCAAATATCTTCAGATACTTCAAGTTTATGTTGAACCAACACTTGGTTACTTGTTCCTAAGTGCTCCGGGCAATTTCTCGACTCTAATCTCTGCAAAAGGTAAAGGGAGCAATTTAAAAATAATTGTAAAAATGGAAACTTAAAACAGGAAATAAATGCTGAAGGACTTTCAAGTAATAAAAATGAAACTTCCACCCTCCCGAACAACCATTCCCAAACAAGAACTGAGAAAATTGGCTTTCAATAGCAGTGTTTGAATGATCCTGAAAAAGAGATACCTTAAAAGGTTTCCTGTGGAATATTGAACAACACAACTTGGAAAGCCACTGAAAAACCGAGAAAGACCTGGAAATGAAATTAAATTCAACCCAATGACATTACAAAACAATGGGAGAGAAAAAAAGTTTAAGTTACGCGTTTTCCATGCTTCTGCAGTAAAAGACAACATATTTTACTCGTCGAATTACTCATCCCAATCTTCGCATTCAACATAATTCACTCGACACAAAAGGAACTAAATTCAATATGAATAAGAATTCCTTTCGCCAACTGACCAGTTCACAAGCTGCTCCCACAAAAAAGCAATTCCGCTCTGGAGTGAACACAAAAAAATTTGCATATAACTTTAAACAAGAACTTCACTCAAGAATTCGAAACACCAAAATAAAGTAAAAATCTTAACCGTTTTGCTATAATAATGGTCATTTCGAGAAGTTATAGCATGAGGTACTGTCCGCTTCTAGTCTATCTTCATGGCTTTTATGAATCATTCTGAAACGGTGTTTTGGAATTTTGATATATGCTACTTCAGTTAAATATAAGTAAATGAAATATTTTGAAATATTCGTAAATTGTATTTATATCAGTTTCATCAATGTATACAAGATTTATCATGGATTAAGACAAAATTACTGGCAGATAGCAGATAACAGCCGATAAGAGATAAGAGATAATCGACAAGTCACTTGTCCCATTAATACTAAGAGGAACCTGTCCTCCAGAAGAAAGACCTAAGGTTTCTTCTAGACTATAACATCATTAGTTCGATTGGTGTGAACAAAGTACATCTCGCCATCCTTCACTGTTCCCTGCCTCCAACCCATCCCCAACATTCGCAGCATCGCTCTCAGAGAAACACTCCGCTTTAGCGGCCCGTGGAAAGGAGCTCATATCTTGCGTAGCATTGAATTGTGGTTATAGCTGGCAAATTCGATATTAGTCTACTCCTTATACCGGACTTCTCTGGTGTATGCTTGACCTGGACTTGACCTGGACGTGGTGCCTACCGTTTTCTCTTTTGCTTGTGTTGTACCGTACTGCAAAGTAATTCTCAAGTTATGGTAAATATACTGTGATGATAATATATATGTTCTGGCGGTCTCACCGGTAGATTAGATGTTTATGGAATTTAAGTAGCTAGGATTTTCCAATTCTTGAAGTGGAAAATTTAACATTCAGCCCAAAAATTACTTTTTAAGTAAAGTATATGTACATATATTTTATGTACATAAATTTCTGTTTTGTTCGGTTAAAATTTGTTTTATTAGTAATAGTTTCGTTACTAAAGTCTACTTCATTACTTACGTACTTGTGACTTAATCAGCATTAGTATATTCTAGCAGCGCTGCATTATTTTATTTAACATCTAGGTTAGTCTGCAATGCTTGATGACGAAGAGAGAAATAGTTTGCTCGAAACAGTCATATTTCGGCCATTATATGTGCGGAAATGTCTTGGTTGTCCAAAAGCATCGTCTGCTTACGGTTCGTTCAATCTGTATTTATTGGATCAGAAATTAACTCTTTACACATTTGCTTTAATTAATTTCTGGGGATTTCGTAACAGTTATTCTCAAATCCTTCTAGAAATGAAGGGATGATATACATTAGGATTGAACGATGGAACTAACTTATCAAGTAAATATAAGTTCGCTGGAACTAACTTATCAAGTAAATATAAGTTTAGAAAAAGCTAAAATGAATTCTTACGTGATTCCGGAAAGATTCATAGAATTATATTCTTACCATTGCAGATGATGTGAACGACAGCGTTGACATGATAGCAACTGGACGAAGTGATACTAAAAATACTTCTTCCTTCTCATATATCTTCCAAAGATTGAAGGAATTTTACATCGATGAAAGTATTCTTTTTAAAGTCGTGGTCAGCTGAAACAACGAAGAGATCATGAGGCTATCTTTCGAGGCTGAGCTGCATGGATTATCTTCTAAAATATTTAGGAAGCAGAAAGGCATTACTTATAAGTACTACATGTACTTGTTGATATATCCTCCGATGAATTACAGAGTTTTCTGGTGACTTCGGTCATCTCCAGTTCTTTTGCAGATGTGAATTTTGAGAAATGGATAACGTTGAAGGGTGTGAAAGTGGCATTTTTTAGTCAAACTATACTTGATGCAGTCACAAGGACGATTTTAGCGAAGACGAATCAGCGAAATACGAGTTTTCTTGTAAATTTGATTTCATCGCTGTGTTTTACCGTCATTCGATTACTGTCTCGTTAAAACACAAATTAATTAAGCTAAAAAAAAATGGGTCAGAGAACTTACTAGATTATCCTTGACTACATGATAATATTTCTAGAAATCTGGTGATTCAGTCCGTTTAGTCCATGTGATAACTAAATTCAGAATTAATTGAATTGAATTCAGGTGTGCTGAATGGAAAGAGCGTTAATTTTTCAGGACAGTAACGTCAGTGGTGAATTGAGGAAGCGTTTAACGAAAAGCATTTCTAGCGGCGTTATTATGGCTGCCAACATTGGATGCATAATGTATTAAAGTTAAATACTTCTGGTGACTTATTGTAAGGGAATTGAAAGCAGCTTATACGAATATCCAGAGCACGGCCAAGGTTTTATAATTGTTTGGACGAAATTCTAGAGAAATCCTTAATTTTTGTAAGTTTTGCAGAATTTCTATAACGCAGTTTGCAGTATGGCGTGAGTATTTTTCGCTTTGGACTGTCCCGTGTGCTACGAGTAGGTCTTTTCAAAATAATATATGATAAAAAGTTAAAGATTGCAGGTGGGCAAACGAATAATATTACTAAAACTCGACCCAATTCGGTATTGGAGTTTGTCTTGGGATAGAAACTAAAAATTGCTTGTTGGCCATTCTAGATTAGGTGCAATTGTCAAAATGATTGAATTTTTTACGAAAAGATGCAAAAAATTCAATATGATTTACTTGTTTGCACATTTCTGTTTCTTCGTTAGAATAATTACTTTGAAATTTCTAGCCGTTGTCCCAACTATATTCAGTTATTCTTTGGGTGTGAAGCCGCTACAGGCAATGAAAGGTGGAATAATGTTAGGGCAAGTTATTTCGTTGTAGTTTTCTTTTTTTTTGTGAAATAATTCTTCAACAATTTCATAAGGTTGGGAAGCGTAAGGTAGCTGGGAAGATGAAATTACTAGATTTAATTAATAGAGTATCTCACTTGTTCCGATGTCCAGCATAGTACATTCTGAGTTGAAAGTGAATTCGCATGCTCTAAGTAGCCTAACTATGAAAAATTTGCTATACTGCCTGTTTAAAATTTATTTTATTCTGTGGTTTGGAATTGATGGGAAACAATTCACTTAACGTTTAGTAAATTCGATAGATTTTGTAATTCGAATAGGAAACTTCCTTGGGACGATTCGCAGTTAATGGTTGCTCCAATGATGCAACGGTGTCCCGAAGATTCGCCATGCCGTTATAACATGATCCCTGATGATCAATGTATGTAAACGCTGTGATATATCGCGTAATGCGTTAGGATGTAGCGTATTGTAGGAGGTTATAGATTTTATTAATAGTCAAGTCAAGTTCTTTTTTTTTCAGGGTGTTATCATCGCTGGCAGTTCTTAGCATTTCTCTGTTTTACGATTTATCAGTCGATGAAACATATCAATGCGTTAAGAAGAACATTGAAATCAGATTAAAGGAAGAAAGAGAAAGCGAATTGTACAGGTTTATGAAAGAGCATCATATTCGGAGCAAATGGTTCGGGAAGTGGATGTTGAATAGGAGTCGTATAGATGAAAATATTGATGATGGATCATCTTGATAAGCATAACCACTGATGGGATAACAGTGGAAATTGTGGGGTGTTCTATAATTTTAACTGACTTCTTTTTAATTCTAGAAGCATATTCATATTTTTCAAAAAGATAAATATGAATAGTTATTTGGGACATTCAAGTAGTTGTGAGATGCGTAGGTATTTCACAGCCCTTCATTTTTCAGCTTGTATGTGATTTTCATTTAACTTGTGCCATTCATTTGTTTCATATTTATCGTAAATTATGACTGCTTCATAAATTACGTACTGTAGTTTTATCATCATTGTTTTATAATAGGAGACTGTTAATTTAAATATTTTTTACTGCGCATATAATTTCCAGGACTGCTTGTAACTTGTCATATTGTTAATTTGCGTGCGGATTTTCTGTTGTTGGTGTCTATTAAACTATTCTGTATTCGATTTCGAAAGGTACTGATCGTGTAAGTGCTCTCTTCAATACTTATTTTTTTAAGGATCAATTTCTCATTAGGTAAAGAAAATTTTCTTGATAAAAACATATATTCTGAAGTCAATAAGACCATCATAATGACAACTTGGAGCACTCATGCGTTGTGTAATGTTCTATATATATATATATATATATATATATATATATATATATATATATATATATATATATATAA